TTTATTTATTTATTTATTTATTTATTTTTGAGAGACAGAGAGGGAGAGACAGAGCACAAGTGAGGTAGGGGCAGAGAGAGAATGAGACACAGAATTCCAAGCAGGCTCCAGGCTCCGAGCTATCAGCACAGAGCCCGACGCAGGGCTCGAACTCACAAACTGTGAGATCATGACCTGAGCTGAAGTCGGACGCTTAACCGACTGAGCCACCCAGGCGCCCCTTAATTGCTTTAAAGTGTTACTGAGTGCCTAAAGCAAAAACAGTTGCAACGTGATGTGTGTTTACAGACCGTGTAGAAGTAAACTGGGGCAACAACAGCAGAGGACAGGAGGAAGAAACTGGAAGTTTACTGTTGCTGCAGAACATGATACATTTTAGCAAAAGATTAGCGAACATACAGATGCATGTTTTCCCCATTCCGGTTCGGCAGACCCCCGGATTTTATGGATGGAACCATGTTACTCTATTCAATTCTACTGGGCTTCTAATCCATCCTCCTCCTTGAAGTCAGGACACTCTTTGGCAGAGGTAAATCCAAAATGCTTCACTTCCGTGATACAGTCGGGATTTCTGTTTCAATCTTTTGCACATTCTTCCTCTCCCTCATAACCTGACTAGGTGCGGCTCCTCAGATGTACTATGCTCCTTTCTTCGTTGTGCCTTTTTTTGTCTGAAACATCCTTTCTCTCTTTTCCCATGTACCCACTCTTATTCATCTTCCAAGACTCATGCTAAGCAGCAGCACTTTCATGAACACCCCCTCCCTGAAACCTCAGGTTGAGGTATGGGCTCTGCATCCCCCTCCCCCCCCCCCCCCCCCCCCCCGGCAGCACCGTGTATAGGCCTTGTGGGACACTTATCACACTATTACAAATTGCCGCCCTTGTCTGGCTCTCCCACTGCACTGACAGTCCCTTCAAGAAACATCTTATTTGATGGCATCTAGAACAAGGTCTGAGTTGGGAGTTAAGTGAAGGAGAGTTAAGTCACGGAGAGAAAATACTTAACTTCTGATAGGATTCACTTGTTTTGCTTTTAAGTAGAAGAGAGTAAAGACGGGGGGTGGGTGATTATAAGTGAACCATCCTCTGCCTGCATTCACTGCTTCCTGGGCTGCAATTGTGTCAGAACCTTCTTCAACGATTTGGGCGGAAGATGAATCTTCACCTAGTGCCACCTTGCTTCTGGGTTTGAAGTCCTATTTTTATTTCTCAGTGTTATTGACTTTTCCCGAGGCTTTATGTGTAGCACATGTGTGGGTGGATGGCAGGTTTCTCTAAAACAAAGATGAAATATTTTGAAATCGGCTCATCTCAAAGATTAGGCCTCCTTTCTTTAGCTACACCTACACTTACATCTTTGAAAATATTTAGCTTTCTCCCCCACAAACATATTTTAAAATAGGCTTAAAGAGCATCCTTACTCATTTTTCCTCCACTGCGGATGCTTCAGGCTGTGCACGAAGATAAACAGAGCATCTAGTAAGAATCTCCTACCGGGCAAGTAGACAGGATTCATAACTGGGTCAGCAGCTCCGCCAGCCTGGCCTGGTGCTTTGGTTTTGCTATGCTTTGCTGCTTCCTCTGCAGAGAAGGCTGTGTCTCTGCTCTACCTAGGGCTATGAACCTGATAGCGATGCTCCCTTGGGCCAGCTGGCAATGCAGTTGAACTTGTGGGTACCAGGGAAGCTGTTTTCTTTTGACATGACAGGCCCTTTCATCTCTTATCAAGGCCATTTGGAAGATGTCTCCATTCTGGGAAAATTTCTTTGTCTTTCACGACTTGGCCAATTCATATAAAATTTTAATTAGTTTAAGATTTGCCTCAAAACAGGGCCTAGAAAGTAGATTATCAAAGATGCACAGATTTACTCCCATGATGATCAAGGGGCTGGAAGAGATCTGGAGAAACCACCTGAGTGAGCAGACTCTGGGCAGGAGGTGACATTGCTTTTAAGGATTTCCAGGGAGAAAACACTTAAGAAAAGAACGTTTCTGGAGAAGTCTGACCTTAACAACCATGGCCCTGGTCTAAAATCTCCAAAGAGCCTCTGCTCTGTTGGGAGGGTGCAGGCAGGACCCTGTTCTCTCCACTCGAGCACTGAAGGCTCCATGATCTGAGACCCGACACTTCCTCTGGGCCTCCATTTCCTCCAGGGGAGATAAGGACACGGAAACTGATCAGACCTCCAGGGCACGTAGTGGAAGGTCTACAAGCTCTTTTCAGTATTTGGAGAAATCTAAAGGAATGCACATGTTTTCCTTTTCCAGAGATAACTAAGCCACAATCTGCATTTTCTTTGTTCCTGTCTGAACTGTGTCAGCGTGTTCTGATCACCACTTCACACTGGGCCATCCTTCGATGGGGCTAAGTACCGCCTCATTCAGTGCAGAATGGGAAAATAAATGCTACTGGCCAAAGGCGTTCTGTGGAGACTGTGTTTCCTTCTCGGGAGAGGGACTGGGAAGGGGGACGAAGGTGTCTCGGAAAGGCTGGGAATTAAAAAAGAAAACTTTTTTTAATGTTTATTTTTGAGAGACAGAGAGAGACAGAGCGTGAGTGGGGAAGGGCAGCGAGAGGGGGAGACACAGAATCTGAAGCAGGCTCCAGGCTACCAGCTGTCAGCACAGAACCCACAAACTGCAAGATCATGACCTGAGTCGAAGTTGGACGCTTAACGGATTGAACCACCCAGGCGCCCCAAGGCTGGGAATTTTAAGGAGAGAGAGAGCGAAAAGAGCGAGCTGGCAGCTGTTCCAGGCTTTCACCTCGGAGTCGATGATCTCTTTGGACAAGGATCACCCTGGATCCGAGGTACTGTGCCTTCTCCCCACCTGGCCCAGACAACGGAGGCCCCACAGTTGGGGCAGGGGAGACCCCGCGGGCAGGTACCTGTTCCAGGCGGCACTTGAGCGCCGCCCACTGCACGTCCCAGGCGGCCTTGTCGCTGGCGTACTGCTGCTGCAGCCGCCGCCGCGCATGCTCGTCCTCCCGCAGCTCCGCGTGCAGGTCCTCCAGCAGGGTCTTGAGCGCACCAAACAGCTGCTGGTTTTCCACCACCTGCAGGGGGGAACATGGAGTCGGGTCTGCCAGTTTGTGCCAGGGTTTTCTTTAGGTCCGAAGAGGAGGGGAGCCTAGCATCAACGGGGTGCCGGGCTGTGTCCAAGGGGCTGTTGCGGTGGGTGTATGTAGAGCAGGTGCGAAGTCTGCACGGTTAGTGGGACGCAGCCAGGGGGTCCCCCCGCTGCCGGCTGTCAGGCTCCTGGGGCTAAGACTGCTAAGGGCCTGTCGGAATAGGAGGGAGGCTGGCACTCAGGCTGGTCCTCCAGGCCCAGAAGCAGAAGGGAGGAAGCTGCAGGAGGCCACGGGGAACCTGGAAGCCGGGGCTGCGAGGACGCTACATGTGACTTCAGACGTCCAAAGCTGTGACTGGGGATGCAGCTCTAGCAAGATCTGAACACTCACCGACCTATTCTGTCATTTTAATACCAGCCACTGAACCAGAAGGGAATAAAAAAATAGGCTCTGTGTCTCTCATAAGCACAGCGTGGTCATACTGTGTGGCTCGTATGGATCAGTATGGCCATGTGGGGAAGGGCATGCTGAGCTTTCATAAACAAAGCCAAAAGTGAACGCTTCACTTGTTCGTGAAGGCTTCCTCATGGTCCTCTGAGATAGAATCACTGTGCCCCTCTTTTCTGCTGCACCAACAGCATGAATAACCATGGCGCCTACTTGTTTTCTCGTGCCGCCCCTGATCACTCCACCGCCACGGTAAAGTACACGGGTGGCGGGCGGGAGACAAAACCTTACCCACTCCTGATTTCCAGTGTTTCACACAGTGCTCAGCCTGTGGGAAGTACGCAAACAGGTCTCATAAATGAAAATGGGATTTTTATCCCTAATCTGCTTACACCTAACTTAGAGATTTTATATTTTCTAAAATCCACCCTGCCCTTTGAAGGCACATTTCAAAACCATGCTGGCTATCTTAGTACATTTTGGCACGGACACTATACCAGAAAGGTTTGTCTAAGTGCATTAAATCCTGAATCAATTATGGTACCTGGATGATAAAAGCCCCATGAGCTCATCTCTTTCAGTTGGGCAGAAAACACTTAGTGCATCATGAGCTTCCAGACTGTCTCCGGGCCATCTTGTTTGGTGCATTTATGAGGCAGGTAGAATTAAAGCTCTCTCAGTTGTCTGGATGCAGACCGTCTTGACTTTGGGAACACAGGACCCCTTATTCTCAGAGCAAATCCCCCCTGCTTGATAAACCTCTCATGCCAAGGGCAGCAGGACACTCACTATTCCCAGCTCTCCTGCATCACGTGGAGAGTCCGTCGTGATTCTAAAACTAGTTAATCCCCGAAACACATGTGCACATAGATAAAAATGGTCAGCCACATTTGGGAAGAATTTAAGATACTTTGGCTGTATGTTTGGATTTAAATGAAGTTGAGTTAGAAAAGAGTAACTCCTGGGGTTCCTGGGTGGCTCAGTCGGTTATGTCTCTGACTTGGGCTCAGGTCATGATCTCGCGGGTTGTGAGTTCGAGCCCCACATCGGGCTCTGTGCTGACAGCTCGGAGCCTGGAGCCTTCTTTGGATTGTCTCCCTCTCTCTCTGCCCCTCCCCCGCTCTCTCTCTCTCTCTCACTCTCTCTGTCTCAAAAATAAAATAAAAACATTTAAAAAAAAGAAAAGAGAAACTCCTTAACATTAGCAAATTTATTACTGAAAACTCCCCAGTTCTCCCTGTAAGTTGTCTGAAGTTACATGTGGTAGACTTTCACTTGGGGAGAAAGGCCTATTTGTTACCATTTATTGCTCTTTCATTTTTCTCTCTTTGAACACCAGTTTTTACTTTAGTAGCCCTGAGACTGAAGCCATGAAGGGTACAGTTCAGTTAACATTTTCAAGATTCAGCAACTAGAGAACCTTCTAAAAATCCTACACATTCCTTCCAACCACCTGAATGTAAGAAAATTACCACTATACTCAGCGAGCTGCTCAGGGTATATGTACAACTATAATAAATAACTATAATAAGTCAACTTGACACCAAAAGTACTTAAAAATTATGTAAGCACAGGTGAGTAAGAAGAGGTATTGCAATTTTTTTTTCCAGAAATACACACCCTTCTGAGTACAGAATTTGTTTGAAAACATTTATTTATATTTTATGGTAGATTCGTTTGGGATTTTCATCTTTGGAATTTAAGTTTAAAAAATATATACATTACTACTTTTGGGCTCCTGGGTGGCTCAGTCAATTGAGTGTCTGACTCTTGATTTTAGCTCAGGTCATGATCCCAGGGTCATGGGATCGAGCTCCACATGGAACTCCACACTCAGAGTGGAGCCTGCTTGGGATTCTCTCTCTGTCTCTTTCTCGCTTTCCTTCTGCCCCTCTCCTCTACTCATGGCTTGCTCGCTCTCTCTCAAAAAAACAAACAATCACTACTTTTTAAGTCTAAGCATTTTAAGCATAACCTAATGGTAAGAGGTTTGATCCAGTCTGAGTAGTCATCTCATGCTCGTGGAAGAAAAAGCAGAAAACTATGTAATCAATCCTTGTATGTAATGGATAGCTCCCTACAAACCCCACTTTGTGAATGTAGCCAGCCTGTAGGGTTCTTAGCCCCGCACTAAATGCCTCTGACAACATTAGGACCGGAACTTTGTGGTCCTCGAAAGCAGGAGGTCACATTAATAGTCCTTTTGCAGACTGAAATTTTGGTTCCTCTAGAAATAAGTACTTGCTGCCATTAGCAAATATCAGATTAAATAAAATTAAGCCTTAATGTTTTCATGCACATTTGGGTCAGAGTGATCAACATAATGTGCTGTTATACCAGTATAATATTAATCATCATGGCAGGAGTTCAAAAATTGCTTTGGGATGAAGGTGGCCAAAGGGAGCAGGAGAGTCCACAGGATCAATGTCATTGATACTCGTTATTATAATCACCCAGGAGCAGCATGTGATATGGCAAGAAGCCAGACTAGCTCTCGGCCATTGGTGCACAACGCCAATGATTGATGTCCAAGAAAAAATTTCTGAAGACCCAGATGGGCCTGATGCTTATCAACTTTTCACAACAAAAACAAACAAAAACCCCAAGCCCCAAACCCAGTAATGAAGAGTAATTCTAATTGCTTTTAATGGGTCAGAGGGTGTGCTAAGATCAGGTATGCTGATCATTCACCTGCATGATGTTATTACCTGCTTCTTGCATCAGTGCTAGGTGCGTACCGTCACGTTCCCTGTTACAGAGGAGGAACCAGAACACGCAGCAGCTAAGGAACTGCCAGGCTCTCTCTGCTAGGAAGTGCAGAACACAGACTGCAATCCAGGTCTGTCCCACCCAAGGCTGGACAAACCGAGCCAAGATACTTAAATTCTGACATTATATTCTACCCAGGTTTTTGTTGTTGTTGTTGTTGTTGTTTTGTTTTTTTGAAACGTTGCCTAAGAGAGCCACTTAATCTCTAGGAGCGATTGCCATCCTCCATACCAAAGGTAATAATATTAGTGAGCCATCCTGAAAGAATGCTTTAAAGTTACTTGTGTTACTTTTTCTCCCCGCAGTGGCCCTTGCTGGGCAATGTTTTGGGTAAAAAGATGATCCTAATCAGGTTAAGAATGGAATCAAGATTCTCTGGTTTGTTTAGAGGTCTTTGGATGAGAGTCTTCCTGGATGCAGACTTTTCGGAAACTTCTGTGCCAGGGGCCCAATTATGCAACCTTTTAGCTTATATATCTGTTAAGCATAGGCCAATTTCAATGAAAAAGGCCAATTTTTCAATCTCTTCAAGATCAGCTTGTTGGCTTTCTTACAAAAAAGCAGGAATAAAATGGCTCCACCATTTCCTTTTCCTTAGGCTAAGGGCATTTGAGCCCTTCTAAGTTCATCTCTTTTGGGCAAGCCTTACCATAATTCCAAAATTGGGATCAGGAGCTGGACTGTGCTATAAAGTGTTAAACTTTATACCAGGTTCAAGGTTGGGCTTCAGCTAATTAAGGCTGCCACCCAAATATACAATAAGCATTAATGGAAAGCGAAGAGGAAGTTTCTGAGAAAGGTAACACACCAAGATATTTGTGATGCAATGCCAGCTATTTGATAAAATCGTTCCTGCGTAAGATTTCTAAGATATGTGTTTCATAATTCTGTGAAAGAGCTAAACTACCATCAACCACTTTGCCTGTATCAGAGCCATTAATGCTGGAGATGAGTGTAATCTAACACTGGAACAGATACATTGTTCTGTTCTGTTGACCTGCTGCTAAGGGCCCACCCACAGAATGCCAGATGGCCTCCACTTCCTATTCATTTAGGCTAGTAGACATAGGCAGGGAGTTCTAGAATGCTGTGGTAGCTGCCCTTGACCCCCAACACAGGGAGGCATAGGTCCTATTTCATAATTACAAAGAGGGACACCTCATACACTATTCAATAAAGTAACCCCTCTACCGGCAAGAGTCCCAAGACAAGTCCTTTACTGTGCGATCAGACAGAAAGGATACATGTACACATCCAACAACATTTTACTATTAATAAGCCATTTGTCGTCCTTACTTCCATTGTTCCATTTGGATTATTTTTGAGATTCTTTTCTAAAACTACCATCCTCCCACAGATGAAAGAGAAGGCGTCACTGAAGACTGGCCACGAAAACATAATCTCTGATGGAGGGTTACAGAGATGAGAAATTCATGTTTGTACAAAAAAGTCGTTTGTCCTTTGGCTGAGAATATGCAGGTGATCCGGGCCACGTGGGCTCTGTGCTGCAGGTCACTGTAATTTTCAGAGAGGTTCCCAAGAATAAACGTGGGTTTGTGAAGGAATTGATGGACATGTATTCAGTAAGTTATAAACCCAGAGTTATCAGCCAAAGGCTTCAAAGAAACTGGGGCAGGTCTGATGAACATCAAGTGGCCAGATGGGAAGAAATCACTTAGTAGCGAGGTTTAGGGTTTGTTGCACACGTAGAAAAGTATGTCATAAACTGCTGACCATGGCTAACACTGGGGGGATGGGGACTGAGAGAG